TGATATAATTCTCTTCTGCCCCCCTCCGGCACAAAGAACAAGAAATTGAAACCCCAAATCCGACTGACGCTCTGTGTCTGCTGCCCCATTTAAACGCCTCTTCCAGAAGACGCTTTATCCACGCCCCGCTTACCACGAGGCCTTGACCCCACCATCCGGAATCGCTCGATCTCAGCCTCAAATCTGGTCCTGAGGCTCAAGCTCAGGTCCAGCAAAAGGAGCACGACATTGTACTTCTCTTGCTGAGATGACTACCTCCCCCCACGACCCTTAACGAAAGATATAGATATTTTTGTACAAGACGAATCGCTCTTCAATGTCTTCGATCCCATGCTTGACCCGGATCCGTTTGGTTTGACGGCAAGCATGCACTTCCAGACTCCATTCAGCTATGCCGAGAGCCATGTGGGGCCATGAGAATAAAAATTAGAGAAGAGAGCAAAGTAGGGAAGCAACAAACAATCCATCCTATCAAAAATAGTACTCGGATGAAAACCTCCAAATCCGACAGCTGATCTTTTCTTCTCTTCTCATGTCATATAGACTGGACTTGACGAGATGTTGTTTTATTTTATCAAGAGGTTTTACCGAGAAATCTACACTCTACGGCGCTCGGATGGGGTGGCTTTTCCTTGTATTCGTTACTTCTTATTCGCATTTTCGATTTTTCCTTCTTCCTTGTTTTTCCAGCGGGGTCACGATACCCAAGGGTCACGGCTGAGATAATCGTGTTTTTCTGGTTTAATTCAAAAAGAGCAAATCAGGAAGGGAGAAGAACGACGGAGATGGCAAGTGCTTACATATATATATATATATATAATATATAACTGGCATACGGTATTTGCGGGGCGCTTTTGGGTTTATTTGGGGGGAAGTTTCTAAGTTTCTTAAACCACATAAACTGTGTTACCAATGTTTGCTCTTGGGTGGGTTTTTCTCATTTATTTTCTATATATATATATATATATATATATATATATGATTGATCATGCGCATACGATATGTCTTTTCTTCAACATTCTCATCTTGTTTTGGTGCATATAACGGCAGATGAAAAATGATGATAATGATCATGATCATGATGATCATGACGGTTGCTCTGGATGCTGCCTCATGTCTTGCATTAGTTTTACATCATCTGGCCGCTGGCTTCGTCCCTCGTTATTGTTCCATGTTTCCCCTCGTTTCTTGCCATGTTATTGTTTGGTAGTAAGTTCAAGTTGTTTAACCGTGCCAATGTCATATGTGTACAGATTTCGTTGTCCGTAGATCCGCCTTTGCATCCACAATAAGGACCATACCCTAAGCCCTAAAACCCCAATCCGACCAAGCCCCAGCCCACCCCCATCCGCCCGGGCCGACTCGGCTTCCGGGCCACTGGGCCCTTGAGCCTCCTCTGTGGCTCGCTTAGCATTTGCGGATTTCAAACCTCGACCTCAACCTCAACCTCAACCTCGCCTCCCACCCACGGCCAGCTCTGTGTCCACCGTCCACCATCTCACCATCCACCATCCAGCTCTCCACGATCCGGATCCGGATTGCACGGCATCCTCTGCTTCATGACCAGGCAATTCGCTACAATGCTGATATCACCTTAGTTCGCAAATCGATCAGCTCAGTCAGTCAGTCTCTCTCAGTATTCTTCCTCACACCTTCGGCGTTGTGCTGCCGCCAACACCTTCCAATCCAATTCCCAATTCAAGTCCCAGAAAAAATATATATAAACAAAACAAAACATTTCCA